TTCAGCTTGAAGGCTCCCTTTGGTATTTATTATATGGCAGATCTGCTAGAGATGAATTCTCAGTTTTTCTTTATTCAGGGATGTCTTCCTTTCTCTTTTATTTTTGAAAGTGAGCACAGGATTTTGATCCATTCTCATCGAAAGCCTACTATAGTCAAAAGAAGGTAGCCCAATCGACAGGTAACCTCATCCCTGTGTCCTTTCTCGGAACTTAGATTTGTCCTGGCTCCACCACTTACTAGCTATGCGACCTTGGGCAAGTTATGTCACTGCTCTGTACCTCAGTTTCCTCATACATAAAGTGGAGACAACAATGGTACTGTGCCCAAAGGAGTGTTGGAGGATGGATTTAAGTCATGTAAAGCCCTTGGGGCTGGTGCTGAGCCCACAATAATACTAGCTCTTAGCTCATTTACCGAACCAAAGCCTCCTGGGATGAAGACAGTGGGGATTCAGTGAGCAGTGGAGCTCTTCTCAGCTCCAGGGCTCCTCCCTAGGTTCTTTGATGAATGTCACCTGCCTTTCCTACAGAGGCATACTAGGCTCGTCAGAGGCAGCCTGGAAGCTGGCAGGGGCATCTGCACAACCACAACATAGAAGGAGGCCCACCCCATGTTGTAAGCTTCCACATGCTAATAAGACAGTAGGCAAAATGCTTACTGTTCGTTTGCCAATTTATCTGGGGCCTGGAGTGCCTATGATGACAGCTGGCCCAAGCCTCTTGTCTGCTGGACAGCACCTCTGGGACCATACTGAAGATCCTTGTGGGACTGAGAAGGAAGGTGCCTGGGCTCTGCAAGAACACAGACAGCAGGTGCCTAGAAACCCCCTGTAGCAATGAGGGTAACCCACCCTTCCAAACTGCATCTGTGCTGTCATGCCCATGCCAGTCTTCCGGATACTTACAAAAAGGGAATAAGTTTGCCTCCACCCTACCACCACCTGGTCCATCCCCTGTGGGCCTCCTTTCCTGGGCCAAGTACCTCATCTGTCTCCCATCCTAGACCCACTCTGGCCCCCTCCTCCCTCCAAATCAAGCGAGACAGCTGATTCATGCCTCGAGGAAGGCTATTTATTTCCAAGTTATAGACTGTACTTTTAAGACTGGACTTTTCAGAAGCAGGAAATCTTAGTTGTTGTCAGAGAGGTGTGTCAAGGACACAGTGAAGGGAGCCATGCGGACATGGAGCAGGGAGGTTTTATCCAACACTGTGACAACACGTTTTTAAATGAGCAAAACAGCTTTTAAAATCCTTATAAATTCTTTATAATATGTTACACATTTAGAGACAATATTTACAATAAGAGGATGGGGGAGGGAGAAGAGAGCAATCTACTTTACAGCAAACCTTTGCATAAAACGAGAGGACTGACAGATGTGGCAGTGGGCTCACATCTCCACCTGGGCTTCCCTGGAATGAGAGCGTGTCAGGGGTCCTGGTGATCTGAGGTCTATTTACAAGGTGTGGGGAGAAGGGGCTGGGTCCTGCCCATCCTGCAGGAACAGCCCAGCTCAGACCCCAGAAATCAGTGTGTGTGTGCGAGAGAGACAGACACACCAGGGCTGTTTTTCACTATCCCCCTTCTAAGGGGAAGAGGTGGGGGTCTGTGTGCCTGAGTTGTGGAAGGGGCAGGCACGGCTGGAAGAACAAAAAGAGGGGTGAGGGGGATACCAGCAGGGGGAACCCTGGACCCCCACAAAACTGGGCAACAGGCAGCTTCCCATGGTCAGAGCTTGGGGAGGGGAGTGATTCAGAGGTTGGCAAAAGGATGGGGGGACATAACCCTGGTGAGGGTTTCAGTCCTGCCTCTGTGGAGTGGCCCAACCCCCTTCTCTGGCTCTTCTCTGACAAGGGGGGTGGGCAGGATCCCTGTGTGCACCAAAGGAAGGGAGCCCTGGGAGTTGGGGAGTGGGTGAAGAAAGGGGCAGGGGTGGCAGATGCTACTGGAAACACCTTGGGACAGCGACTACACATACTCGCACACATAAGCCCCCCTCTTCCATGGACACAACCACCTTACACCTCCTCTCCCTAGACATACATACACCTTCCCCCACATAGCTAGTTGCCAGGAGCTAATGGGGGGCAGAGGCGGGCAGAGGAAAGAAGCAAAAACCCAGCCTTGCCCAGTATCTTTCCTTTAGTTCGAAACTTGGGGGTTCCCTATCCACACCCCATGGTCAGCAGGGTCCCTAAGTTCAGCCACAGGAAGGTCCTGAAGGGCACACTTGGACACATATCCAGGGGCCACAGACCCCAGAAGCTCATCCCCTCTCCTCCCCATTACCTCCAGAACCCCCCTTTCCACTCGCACCCTCTTTGTCCAGCTCCAGTCTTCTCCTCTGCCCACGCCTACCAATTCCAGCAGGCGAACTAGAGAACGACGGGCACCCTCTTGACCCGCCTGATGCGCTCAGGGCCACAGAAGATGGGGTGCAAGCCAGAGGAGACTCCTGTTTCCCAAGGGGCGGGGGGGGGTCACACACACTGATGGAGGCGGGAGGTGGCCGAGCGGCGTTGGGGCTGGCTCTGCAGGGTCCCCGGGTCCCCTGGCGCAGGTGGCAGCGAGGCCGCGGTCGACGGGGTCCGCGCCTTGGTGGACTCCAGGCTGCTGAGGCCGGAGTCCTTGTTGTCACTGTGTGCCTGCGGGTGGGCGGGCTCCATGGGGCCCCCTCCGCCCAGCTCCTTCCACTCGTTGAAGTTGAGGTCGGTCAGCGGGCTCTGCACCACCACCGTGTGGCGACGCCAG